ATATAAAAAGATAGATAGATAGATAGATAGATAGATGTGACTGATCATACCATTGCTAAAATCAAATAGGGGCACTTGAGCTTGGCAGTACAACTTCTTATCACTGTGGTATCACTAAACTCGGTAAGACTATATATGTAATATACGGTCGTTCCCCGTAATGCAGTTGTTTAGGTCAACTTGGCCGATCTGCAAACCGCATGGCTGATACTGAAAGCAGCAATTTAAACATCATGATTGCCGTTAGAAAGAGGCGAAGCTAGGTTTGGTTTCGCAGGCGTGATAACTTAGTAAAACATTTTGCAGTACAAGGCTTAGCGGTACGACAACCCATCTCTGAGCGAGATGACGGGTCTCCAGGCACATCCTTTATCGGAGCATAGAGCTGGATGAGAATTATTTAGTCGAGGAGTTGTAAGTGGGTGAGTCGCAGGTATCCTTACATTATTGTTGCGCCAATTTAGTACGACGCTGAACACACACACACGCACACACACACACACACACACATTATATATATATATATATATATATATATATATATATATATATATATATATATATATATATATATATATATATATATATATATATATATATATATATATATATATATATATATAAGGGAAAGAAGTGTACACCTAAGGGCTTGTTTTTCCGTGTTTTGACACAATATTGATGAGATCTAAGAGACAGTAATGCCAAGGCATGTACAGGGAAGTTAATAAAACCAATGGGAAGTAAATAAGAAAGAAAAGTGGGTGAAAAAATACCCAGCCGTGAGCAGGAATCGAACTTACGACCTTCGAATAACGCGTTCGATGCTCGAACGCGTTATTCTTTTGTACATTCCTTGGCATTACTGTCTGTTAGATCTCATTAATATTGTGTTAAAACACGGAAAAACGAGCCCTTAGGTATACACTTCTTTTCCTAATATATATATATATATATATATATATATATATATACATATATTGTCCCTGTTTAAAATTTTGTCGCTCAGCAGATATCTGCTTTACATTTACTATATGTCTCGTAAAGCAATGCAAGGCTAACTTTCAAACTCCGAATATTAAGGAAAGCCGGACTTTAGAGAAGCATATGTTCCTACCTGCACGCAACGAAGCATGAGCAAAGACGGCACCAAAACATGAAAAGGCACCTGCTAACATTTTAAAAGCGCACATATGCTTTTTTTTTTTCTAAAAACTATGACTACAGTGTCGTCTGCCTACGAAAACAGGAACATTGTGCTGCACTTAGAAGTGTGGCAGCTTGGGCTAGTTGGTATGGCATGACGATACTTATAGCGCGAGAACAAAACGACGACACAGAGACAAGAAGGACACGAAAGACACGAGCGCTTGTGTCTTTCGTGTCCTTCTTGCCTCTGTGTCGTCGTTTTGTTCTCGCGCTATAACTATCGTAATTGTGCTGCACCTTTGCGACTGACCGTTACTCCTCAACGACGCATGCTATCAAATCGGTGCCAATGGCAGAACCTCAATCTATCAAGCAAATATGTTGCTTTTCTCAGAACATCTCGCTTGCCGTTAATTATTTAGGATCGTTTGTTGCACTAGCCACTGCGGATAATATTTGGTCACTATGATAGTGCTGAGAGGCTGCTGAGAGGAGCTTGTGAATTGGAGATTTCGTCACACGTGAATGAAGATGAATAGTGTGAGCTAGTGTGTCACTAGTGTGCTACATAATGCCGCATCAGCGTGTACTAGCCGGTATAAGATGAATAGATTTGGTTGGAGCAACTCTAGAGTTAAGCATATTTCATGTTAACCGAGACGTCGACTCACGTTATAGCCTTTTTCGGATGCATTTGTTCCCTGCCCAACGCAGTGAGGCGCAGTCACTATTGTGCATTAATGCGGACGACCAGATTTACCCTTGAGATCTCATGCCTTTCCACATTTGGTAGTCTCAGACAATTCGAGAAGTTTACCGTTATGCAATAGAGCACGGACACAAGGAGGTTCAAGGTAATGTTGCCGCACTTACGATAATCATAATGAATATAAAACAATACAAGCAGTTGGAGAATTAACTGTAAGGTACACCGACATTTCACGTGGACACTGCACTTTGTAATTAAGGAAGTATTTGACTTTCGCCCAACAATTCCAGGCGATACACGCAGTGTTCTAAACCCATGTATTGCAGTTGTTCAGGCCAAATTGGTTAATATACAAGTAACAAAAGCGAGCAGATAATGAAGCTTAAGATGAATAGGGCGCAAACAGCAGTGCCAGATAAGAGACGAAGACGAGGACCGTTGTGATTGCTCTGACTCGGACCGCTGATCACTTGACCTATGTTCGCTCTTCAAACGCGTCAAGAAAGGTATAGGGGTCGTTAACTGTACTGTATTTAACCTTGAACCATCGAGTTATATGCCCGATGCTCCTACCATGTGACATACGGCGGTGCTCATTTCCTCGAACACTTTTATTGAATATCTACGTTCATACAAACCTCGGAGCGTTAGCCAGTGCCACTCGCAACCATAGCGGTGAGAGTGGAACTCACTTTGCTTCGACAGCCGATGTCGCGTAGGACGTGATTGGTTAACTAGTGCAAAGCTGACCTTCACGTAGTACCTGAATGCCTGAGTTTGCTAAAAATGAATGAAAAACAAGAATTTTGGAGGTTCGTTTTTAGGGTCCGTCGATTACTGCTAACAGGGGCCGTTAATTTTACAGCTCTAACTGTATTGTAGCAATTGGAATAGAGATGGGAAGAAAGAAGAGCGGGAAAACAGGGAAACTGACGCTTACAGGGACGGAAACTGCAACCTTTCGCCCCCTTCCCTTTTTTAAAATCTACATCACAATTACGCTTAAGTACACTTAAGGTCACACTTATTTAAACTTGCAAAACATTTAAAACAGTACAAATAACGTATGCCTTGGCTTCCTTGGCGTCATGATCTTCTGATTTCCATCAAGGCTCTGCCAAGAAAAAAATAAGAAACTAACCCTGGGAATCACCTTCCTTCATCAAATCTCCAAGTGGTGTTGGTCAGGCTGGGAGGAGTGTTTTAAATATCGTAATTGCCGCTAGGAAAAGACGGAGACAGGAAATGTTTTTTTTTTCTCACAACTGAGCGAATTTACACCTAATTTTCTATTCTAGCGTAAGCTGGCGCCTTGAATAGGTCTGAAAATAGGTATCGTGTGCTCACTTGCCATTGAAAATATCGTATACTGCGCTTCATTTTTGTGAATACAAAGATCTTCGAAATAAGCTTTTGAAAAGCCTACGGCACTGACTAGGGCTGCTGTAAGAGTAGTCGACGGGAGATGAAGCGGAGCTTGGCCGTATGCACAGCTCCTGGCGCCCTCGTGCTGCTCCAAGTGGAACTTCGCTGAACTCCGAATTTCAAAGAAGATTCGGAGTGCATTAAGTGTTGCATAAACGCAGCAACTTTGTTTTACACATTATAGGCGTGAGCTTTAAACGCTTTGAATATTCTATTGAAAGTGTTCCCGTAAGATGAACGACTGAGAAATCCTTATAGATGATAAGCCGTTTAACTTATGTTGTACCGTGTATTGACGTAAATATGTATGTCCTTTTTTCCTCAGCCACAAACATGCCAAAAATAAACTTCAGCTGCCGACTGATAACGGCATATCAATGAAAGAACTTGTACATGTATAGCACATCTTTACAAATAATTGAGATGAAACCAGGCTGATTGTTGTACAGGAAACCAATAAATCCCCACAGAAATTAATGTTACAATGTTACCAAGTAATTTATTATTTTGTATTATGACCTACAAATTTTTAACCAAACAAATATGCCATGCGTGTTAAACACGTTAGTGAGCTAGGAATCGCGACCACGTAACTGAAAAGGGACAGATCTTTTAGTATTCGCGCTGAAAGGAAAAACAGTTACATGAGCGACAAGTACAGTTGCTGGAAATGGTAGCCGGCATGACATTGACGGTATGCGGCAATCATGGTACTATGGCACTGTTGCAGTCACTTAAACAACAAACGTAAAGTGTTTTGGGCAGCACCAGCAAAACAAATGAGGGTGCATAAATTAACATCATTGTTAGGGTGCATGTTGCTTATTTGTCGTGATTATAGTTGCCTCATGTTGCCTATACGGTTCGAGCAATCATAGGCTAATGTTTTATTGTTGCCATAAACCACAAATTTTATGAACAATTTCATGGTCATTTTGTCTGTCTAAAGTTCATTGCATTCTTAGAATTTTTATTATCATGGCAGCATAAGAAACATATTTTGGCTAAAATGTGCGTTTTACCTTTCACGTGTGCTGTGCTGCTTCATGCCACAGTGTTTCCACAAACGCATGATGAATCATTGCAAAGGCAGAATTGACAATGGCAGAGCGGTAACACGAGACACTGCTTAGTCGTAATAATATAACTTTATCATTTACATGCATAAGTAAAACTCTTAGTGACTTTGTATATGTAAGACATACTGTCAGGAAGTCTTTCCTCAAGACATCAAGTTCATCTCACGTGAGTACCCTAAACGTGCTATGACTATTGCTCTAAAATACTTCCATTTATCTTTTCAAAGGTCATGCTATAACAACCTCGATCAGAAATATTCCAGTGGAAGTACTTCAGAATGGCCCAGCATACTGTTGCATTTGAGGGCATTATTTGGAGTTCATGTTTCTGTTACGCTATGTTATGAATATTTGTTACATTCAAAGAGAGAATTTCGATACACTCTTTTTCAACCGTTAATTAGGAGATTTCCTGTCTCTACTAAACATTCGTCTGTCACAAGCAGTCATGGACAAACACGAAGGTAATGTGACGTTTGAAGCAAGCACGAAAGGTTAGCCTTTCATTGACATAGTTCATGTACTTTTTTGTGCAATAGTTATATCATTGTTTATATTGGTACATATACCTTGAGTCTTCAGTTTGTCCAGGACTGATCGCGTGAGAAATGCGTGCAGTGAGACGATGGCGAGGTACTCACCCCGGCTGCAGGGGGGCTGGACCATTATCCCGACCGGCACTGGTGACAGCGACGGCCACGAAGAGAACGAAGGACCAGCAACTGAACGCCATCGCTTGTCTCATCTCAAAAATACCGTCAGCCTGCGTGTGAAACTTTCGCTGTGCAAGAAAAATCTTCTGGAGACGCGTGCTCAAGTTGAAAGGTCCCTCGCGTGCGGCTGCGCTTTTTTTTTCTAGGGAGCGCTGCACTGGATGCTCAGATAGAGAATGCGCTCAGCGTGCGGTTTGCAGGATTTGGCGGTCAAGACACCTTCAGCGACCGGGCTGGACGTAAACATCTGCGGCTCAGCTTGGGCTTCTCTCTTCTTGCGAGTGCGAGGGGGATGTCTCTGCTTTGTCGCAAGCACGAAAGCCAGTGAGTACTCGGATTCTTCGAGAAAACGGTGAGGTGTTAAGAAGACGGGGATTTCAGAAGAGAAAGTGGTCGGCGATGGCAAGGCGCTCGCCGGTCACTTCCTGTAGGGGGACAGCGAGAAGGTGCACTTTCTTCAAAACAAAGCGATAAAAAGTGGTGAAGAAGGGGAGGGTGTTCGAAAGATGGGTGCGTGTGTGTATGTATGCCGTACGCAGCTTTCTTTCTTCTTCCGAGTGGCTCCGACCAGGCGGGTGCGTTTGAGTGCTGCGACTCGACTCCGGAGGGAGCCCTGCTCGGCGTCACGGTTCTTATTCGCACCAGAGGAACTAAGGATGGGACTCGAGGCCTTGTGGGAGTTGTTCCTCTTGGATGCACGTCGCGCAGCTTAGAAAGAGGATGGACGCGGCGGCGTTCTGTCTTCGTGGACTGGTAATTTGTTTTCGAATTCCGTCGACTGCGCGGGTCGGAACGTTCGGCTTGCTCGAGGGAGGCGCTGTGCGCACCTAGTCCGTGGCGTGGGCCCTGCGGCGGCTAGGGCCCCTCAGGCGACCCCGGTCTGCGGCATGGCGCTCTCGCGAGTTGTTCGCTGGTCGTCGGTCACACCGCCTCCGTCGTCCTCGCCGCCGTCTTCTTGCGCGTCCTCCTGCGTCGTGGTCACGCTGCTTGCTGCTTTCGTCGAGCGAGCGGCGGTGTGACGCCTCGTGCTGCTGACGACAGCAGGAGAAGGACAGGATCACATGGCACGGCGGCGCAAGGTTTGACGACGCTGGCGTTGCGAGTCCCGGCTTCAAACGTGCTCACGAGCACGTTCTTGCTGTGGGCGGTGATCAAAAGTTCCGGTACGAACAAGTGTCCTTAGCGTTCACTAACGCGTCTGATTCGTTAGCAAGAGAGCCCCGTGGCGCACCGGCTAACGGTTGACTACTGCGGGCCTCAACAGAGACGTGGATAGAGAAGCGTCTGGTTAAAACTGTCAGGGTGCGATTGTCAGTGCGTGTGTTAAGCGGCAGGAATGCGGGGAAGGATAACCAAATGTGCAACAGGCAAGACTAAAACAACTCAGGCGACGATACCGAGCCTCGCATAAACCAAGTCTTAAAACACAAGGAACGCAACGGTATACCAACCCAAGCGGAAAGCGGTGATACCGGGGAGTGAGCTGCTCTCGGGCTTCCAAGCGGGGCGCAGGCGAGAGACGGGGTCGATGCGCGTGCCCGCCGGATGACGGGACCGGCCGCTCAGGTGACGAGCCTACGGGACTGGGGAACGGACGACCGACAGTGACGGGCACACAACGCAAACAGAAGGCAACTTAGGAGGGCAGGAGAGAGCGGGCCACGCACGCGCGCGCACTGAGCACCAGCAGCAGTAGCCGAAGTAAGCAGCGGCAGAAGCAGCAGCAGGAGCAGCGGCGTGAAGCGAGGCCCCGGAGGATGGCCTGAAGATGGAGCCCGAGTGCTGGCGGCGGAGGAAGGATCACGGGAGGCAAGTAAGTTTCCGCGGCGAACGGGAGCACCCGGCCGAACCAGCGAACAAACGGGGGGATAAATCTGGGGATAGAGGAATCCTAAACACAAAGAAGGAAAGGGGGGAAACCTAAGGCGCCAAGTCCTGCGGGGGGCTCTCTCACTGGGGCGGGCTACTACTCCCCTTCAGAGTCCTGCGGCTCGTCTCTGGCAGGGCCCTGGCCGCAGCACCCGCAGACGGGTGGTCTTGGACCGTCGCATACCGGCACTGCAGGATTTCTGAAGCGCCGCTGGCGCGACGTCCCTCACCCTCGCTTGCCACGTGCCCTCTTCCTCGCTGGGCGCATGCGCCGGACCTCTCGGAGGCGCTTGCCGATCGATCTCAAGGAGCAGCGCTGGCGCCGCCCGCTGCTGCGCAGACGCGCCCCCGTCCGGCTGAAGCGGGACCCCCTTGCTCCCCGTGCCACCCCTTCCCCATCGTTGGGACCCCCCGGGTCCAGGAGCCAGACGCGCATGGCAGACCCCCGCCGCCATTGCTCGGACCTCTCCGGCTCTCGCTTCAGCAAAGAAGAAGAGTGAACCCTTCCTCTCGGCGTGGCCTCCTGCTCTGGGATGCCGAGCTCCTTTTCCGCCCACTGTCTGCTTCCACAGTCGTCGTCGTCGTCTGCCGGTCATCGATTCTTGCACTTGTTTACACTCTCGCCTCGAAGCTTTCTTTCCGCTCGCAGTGTTCCAGTTGACTTCTTAATTCTGCACTAGCGCCTTTCTGCCCTTCTTTTCCCCATGCTTCCGGCTCAATCGACTGCTGCCGGGATCGCACTCATCTTAAATTGTGCGGCTGGCTCCCTCGGCCCGCCTCGGGACTGCGACGACGCTGGTTCCTCTCGTGAGCTCCACAGATTAAAAGCAGAGACAAGGCTCCTTATACAGAGGAAAAAAAGAAAGACAGAGGAAAAAAAGAAAGGAAACACGAAAAAGAAACGGAGCTCATTTTCACGGTTCAGCTACTTTCATAATGCTGAAGCACTTCTTTTTCTTCATTGGCAGTGCCTTAGAGGCCATTTTGAGGCGGCCGTGGAATGAAAGTTGTACAACTAAGTTTCTCCCTTTAGTGGCTCGCGCACCAAGTCCGCATTCCCCTTCCCCTTTGTCCCCTTCTATTTGCCATCCTTGCGAACATACAGGCGTGTGGGAGGACCGATTGAACTAACTTTTTTGTTTAACTTTAGTTTATACAACAGCAAAACAAAAAAGCTGCCTTCTAGCTTTGTCAATGTCCTACTAGTTCTAAAAATGTGTTCGAGACCCTTAGAAACATCTTTTGCTGACGGCTTGTGGATATCAAACTGATTTTTCCGACTTGGCTGTCAGAAAAAAAAGAGCATGGACCATTTAGTGGTGAAGAAAGGCCGCATGCGCCAAAACCACAGATCTGAACGCACGCCCTCGCGGGCAATCTGCCAAGTACCGGGGTTGCCGCGCTTCAAAACCACGACTTGGCGCTTGAAGGCGTCCGTGTTGCGAGTGCGCGAGTGTGAGCTTGGCACTAACATTCGTACAGTCAACGCAAATCCATGTTTAAAGTGGGATGCTTGCCTGTGAGCGGATCTGCATAAATTTTGGTAGAGTGAAAATTCATTGAGCGGGAACATGTTGCGTAACACCGCCAAGTGTAGAAAGAAAGAAGAATAATTGATGAAGGGTTTGTTTTCTTAGACACAACCTAATGAAACCAACAGCCAATAAAACCAGTGATAATAAATCGTATGTCATTTGTAATCTTTTACCTCTAATACAGTATTTATTGCTCAAAGACAAAGAAATCAAGTTAGACTAAAAAAATGACAGCATATCCACGAAGTTAATGAGTATTAGTGAGGCGAAGCGTCTGTCCATCCATCCGTCCGTGTGTCCATTCGCCCATCTGTCCGTCCGTGCATGCGTCCGATCGCGTTCAAGAATGCAGACGGCGCGCGGGTTACACCGATGAGACGCGAGGCAAAGAAGCCGAGCAAAAGCGTCTTCAACGCGCCCGCAGCTCTTCTCAGTCCATGGCCCAGCAACATTCCGTCACGTGTGGCGACTTTCCAGGAGATTGAGTGAGGCCCTTGTTCTCTGCGTACCCAGACACAGCCCACGCAGCAGCCTATTGAAGAGTAGCGGTACTGCGCCATCTAGAATATCCTCACTCAACTAGAGTTTGTATGTACTTATTTGAGACATCGCCGTCTATATATCTGTTGGAGGGATACTGCCTTTTTTTATTTCTCATCTCTTCTTCTCTCTGTTACGCGTGACGTATGACAAGGTTAGACTAAGAGGAGCTTCGTCCCTCCAAAAGGACCACCAGCTGGTATCCAGGCTACAACCTTCGGACAACTAGTCCGATGCCCTACCAATTCAGTAACATCAGTGGTAGTCTTCCACTCACTCTCTCGGATGTCTCTGCACATTTTTTATAACTTTTTTGCCACCTTGCATCACGTGCTGAGTGTTTGTGTTATGTGCCAGCGTTACCTCGAGAACATCGAAACAAAAGAGACACCCACTGTGACAGTGACACAGGCCTAGATCAGAGCTGGAGCGCACTAGAACAAGGCAGTGCTCGGAACAGCAGGAGCACCAATAAAGACAGTGAAGCCGAAACAGAGTGAAGCCGCTTGTGGCACTGCGATAAAAAGCCTGCAATGTGTCGTCGTTTGAGAGTTGCGTACGGCTACACCAAAGCGGCGCAGTGCTACAATGCCCGCTTATGATTCAACAGGCCCGGATTCGAATTGCAGCGGCTAGGTGACGACCTTTTATTTAATTGTCACTAATGTTTATAGCTTTATTGGTTTTCTTTTCTATCTTAAAACTACCTTCATATGCTAAGTATTCCTGCAAAAGTAACGTGGAGCGTCGTCTCATTCAGAGTCTCGTATTCGTGATAGTTGGCTTTATTTTTCCCGTAAAAAAAGGGGAACGGGCCCTAGACCAAAACTGCAAACTGTCTTGAGTGCGCCCAAGGCCGTACAAAAGTAACATACATGACAGAAAAAACTAACAATGCAGTCAACAAAAACATTGAAAAAGCATTGCACATGCAGGTGTCACGTTACATATACAATACACAAATAAAGGAATGGAACTACACACATGGCAAAAAACTAGTACTTTATAATAAACATACGCACAAACAAAATACCTATGCACTGTAACTTACAAAATGCGCTTAAAAAGACGTCTCTGCTCCCAAATGGGAGCCTTGTTCACAAAGAATACGCTTTTTTTAGTTTGGTTGCCGCTGTGTTTTATTCGTCCATGTAATTCCCCCACCAGGCAGGATTCCACCAATCACTCGACTTCGAAGGCCGTAATCCTATTTTTTTAAGGCCGTGCAGTTGCGTTGCAGATTATTGCATCCACAGTGAATTTTTTTTCTTTTTTACGTGACATTTTACGTCAATTTTTGAAGCAACACCAAGCAGCTCAAGCTAGTTACAAGAAAAAAGAGAAATGAATATGCAGCTATAACAAATGACACTGAAAATTAAAACCTACCTGCTACAGCTGCGATTCGAACTCGAGTATTTCGAGTGGAAAGCGGGAATTGTGCCACTACACCACTTTGATGGAGGTGTGCGCTACGACTAAGCAACAACACACTGGTGACGACCGATCGCAGCACCACTAGTCACTGGACACTGTTTGGGCTTTGTTCCGAGCACTCTATTCTGGGAATACGCTATAGCTGAGCTAAAAAGTCTCACGTTTTTTCACCATTTCCTTTTTCACTTACCCTGGCTTCTTAACACATTTCCGACGCAGATGGAATGGAGTATTCCAAGATAGAGAGAGAATAGAGTAACCATCCTTCTGCTTAGAAGTAGTAGTAACAAAAATGAGGCTAAATTGCATCAAAGTACATATAAGGCCTCCAGTTACACATGCCACCGTAGTTCAACATTTGCGCTCATATCTCAATGCTCAGTAAGCAGTCATGCCCGAATACGCGACACCCCGTGAATGTCCAACTGATATATTCCCACATTGACACATCCTTGTGGCCCATCCCCACGGAGCAGGCAAGCCGATTGGCATCTATATTAGATGGTATTATTGATAGTCATCCCGGAATTCGGCTGGTTCCACAAAAAAGCCTTCAAAATAAAGCGAGCTCCCGATTTACTAGTTATGTGGTGTCACGTTCACACACTAACACTGAGTATCTCGGTTTTAGCAGTCTTGTTTCTGAAAAGCGCGTTCGAAACCCCCTGCAATATTTTCAATAGGACACCAATTATTTCTGTCGAAAATAATTACTTTCGATAGCATATAGTCGGTGAGTTCTCTTCAAATTGCTGTCTAACATAAAAAAAAACAGCTTTGGGCCGTCCGGCAAGCTGAAGATGTCGCCCGGGTCCAAGGACTTCGAGCGGTCACCTGAGGCTCCGCCGTAATAATCGACGGAGAGTGGGAAGGGAGAGGGGTTAATCTTCTCTACCCCCACCTCGCCCAGTAAAACTGCCAGACTTTTAATAAAGTTTATTCATTCATTCAGTCAATATTACTTAATAATTATTTAAACAATAATAATTAATTCTGCTTATCGGGGTGTGCTGACTAGCCACGTATATGACTTTCTCTAAAAGGACACATTAGCTTTCTTATGGGTTTCACAACTGTCCGAAAAGAATATAACGATTATTCTAAGAGAGTTTACGTTCATTTTAAAGAGGGTCATTAAGTTCCAAGTCTTAACTTGCAGAAAAGAACAACAGGACCATATTTTGTTCTTAGATTGCAAGTGAGTGAGCTCTCGAACGAAAAAGACGTGCGCCGATATCTCTATCCAATATTCAGTGAGAATTATGCTAAACAATCTTCAGGAATATGCACAGTCGGGCGGGTTTGTTTATGTTTGCGGAGGTCTCGTTATTGAATTTTAAGAAATGAACTGTTTGAGCAAGAATGCTTTGGTAGTATTAGTTCGAGAACTTCGCTAACTAGAATGACGGAATATAAGCAACATCTGATTACATTGACAGCGCAGTTGCGAGACGTTCTCGGCTTCCAGATTTTGGTTAGTTCATGATATAGCCTTGCCGCCCAATCGCGACAACTATCTTCAGACGTTGTGTTTTGCAAGAGGCGTCATTATGCAACGCGAACGGAAATATTGA